GGACCACTGACTGAGGTGATCCACCCGGAAATAAAAGATTGAATTAAATAGAATTAGTAGATTGTTGCGTAATTCTTTCTTTCTATCAGGCTTTGAACATAAATGGGGAGAATTATTTACTTAAAATGAACAAGAAGAGTCCAGAGCATAATCTGTCTTCTTTAATGCTGTTACAAAATGTTATAAACTATTGGGTTACTTTTAGAAGAACAGTAAAATAAAAAAATAAAAAGTTAAAATGCTGTAAATAAAAAAAAGTGACAAGTTCTTTCATTTTTTTGTTCCCAAGCCCTGGAGAGCAAAGTTCGCTGTGGGGAAAAGAAAGCCGAAGCCTTAGCCAAGGAGAAGACGCGCGTAGAGGCCGAGCTTGAAGCCATGACCAAGAAGTCCCATGATGCATCGGGGCAGCTGGTCAGCATCAGCCAGGAGCTTCTGAAGAAAGAAGGGTAACCGCTTTATCGATGTCACTACTCGCTCCGACGCCCTGTGGATAACTGGGGAGAAAAAGGAGATCTCTGAGCAAACAGACAGAAAAAAAAAGGTTTTATTATTAGTTTGATAAGAGCTGAAGCAACAGATACTTTATTGATTTTATTGTATTTATTGTTAGTTTTAACCAAGCCCTCTGCCAGGCTTTCTGATTTAAAACAATGTTTTCTCATAAAGGAAAAGCACTCTACAGACCATAAAATCCTTCTAAAAGACTGATGGGAAGCAATTACTTTAAAGCGACTGCAAGAGCTTAGTGTTGGGTTTAAAAAAAACACAGAAAACAACATATTTTCCCCTCAACAGACGATCAAATCCGTCTGAGAATATACAACAATGTAGAGGGGCTTGTTGGGGCCCTCTGGGGGTAAGTGGGCCTTTTTTTTTCCAGTTATAGTATCTTAGAGTTACTCATTTGTTTCTGGGCGTGCAGAAGCTTTCTAATAGCTCTGCTGGTGATTTATTATCATGGTAACTCAGAGGGCTTTACCAATCGCTTCTAGGCCTCCTCTGCTTCAGAATGAGCAGAGAGCAACAGGAGGAAGCTCAAAGCTGCAGAGATGGATCCCCACTTCCAGAACGGATCCACTACTGATGCCATTAAATCCTGGGAGAGCAGATAACGCTCTGTTATAAGGCTGTAGTGTACGCTACACCTCAACATTTCCTCTTCTGTCCCAGAGCAGGATATAGGGATGGAACGGTTTATGAAAACCTCTGAATCGTTCGGTTCGACTGTCTCAGTTCGCGTGTGTTGCGTTCGGTTCATGCGCTGCTCCTTTTTCTCATAGGCGAAGCGTTTACACTCCAGAGCAGAAGGTGGCGGTACTGCGACCAAAGCCAACCACCAGTAGTAAACAAGAAGAAGAGGAAGCGAAGCAGCGTAGCCGGGTGTAGCAGAAAAAAATCAGTTGTTGTGGAGAATTGTGTGGGTATGGCGAGTGGGAAAGAACAGGAGTTGGAAGACGCGCCAGCAGCACTTTATAGGTCTGCTGTATGGGACCACTTTGCATTTAGAGTGACCTACGATGACGGCGGGAAGAAAGCTGTGGATAAAAGTGCAACAGTGTGCAAGCATTGTGCAACACGTTTTGTTTATGCTAACAGCAACACGACAAACATGTCATGCTAACCCCGAAATCCCTCATACTCCGTCAGCGCTCCGCCCCGCTGCGCTCCAGACCGGCTGCTCAAAGCAAAGCCTACAGCCTCCACTGTGGCTCCCGTCCGCTCCGCTCTGAGTTCCTTAGAGATGGTAGAGGGCATGCGCCAGATTAAATTCAAAGCAGCAAAACATCCGGAAATGATCCAGGGTTTCTGTGGATCATTAAAAATAATTACAATCCATTATTTTTTTTGGATTTTTTCATTAATTTCATTAATTTTTATGGGATTTCGGGGTAACAATCAACATATACCGAACCAAACCGAAAACCGTGACCACGAAACCGTGAACCGAACCGTGGATTTTGTGAACCGTTCTACCCCTAGTAGGATACTATGGTGGACTCCAGACCCAAACTGGGGGTTTCAACCTATGGATTAGATTTTTTCCCATTTCTAAGTAATGTATTTTATGCCTTTAAACACCTAAATATGCTTTGATGAAGATCTTTCTTAGTGTTTCTTTTAATCACTGTAGAGGATCTAATGACCTCATACTTTTTGATCTGTGACCAAGCTATGACAGTCAGTGTATATGTATATGTATATATATGTGTATATATATATATATATATATATACATATATATACATATGTACATGTATGTCTTAACATTTCCTTGTGATCCTTATATCGTATATTATATGTTCTTTCTTATGTATTTGCCTGCCTAGGGACTACGGATGAAAACTAGCTTTGTAGTTATAATCCGGCATTTTTACATTTGTTTTTATACTGATGTTCATAAATGTACTTGTTCCCTGTTCAAATATATATATATATATATATATATATATATATATATATATATATATATATATATATATATATATGGGTACTTTCATCACTTTCATCCTGTAAACCAAAGTTCTTCTGTATTGCAGAGCGTGCAAGATTGAACTAAACAGGATATATACTTACAAAATTGGTGACATATTCACAATGTATCCTATAAGTATATTCAGTATAGATATAACTAAAAAGATTTGATCAGTTATTGAAAAGTTAATTTACAAAGTCATGATTAAGATAAATAAGACACAGCCTGATGTTTTAAAGTCTTCATTCCTGTTAATTCTGAGGACTTTCTGCTAACAGCTCATGAAAACACATTTAGGATAAGAAAAGAACGTGAGACCAATATCATGTCGGGTTAATGAAAAATATGTTGAACAATTGCTTAAAGATTGTATTTCTACAAAGAAGAGACGTTTTCTATTCTCATTTGTTTAATCTGGAGGGAAGAAAATAACAGGAAGTGGGTCCAAAGCTAAAACATTTTGGCAAATTACTCAATATGTTAGTATGATATATATTAGATAGTATAATATATGAAATTTAATCCACTTCAGGTTTTGTTTTGTTTTTTGCAAGAACAGAATAATAATATGGAAATAGAAAATATATAGTAAAGGAATAAAGATAAATTCCTCCTTCCAATTATAGAATTTAACTCATTTTACACTGAGATCAGTCATTTAATTCGAAAAGAAAAAGCAGAGTTTGCATTAGTAAACTCTTATCCCGATCCTTTGTATTAGAAAAGATTTAAAATTAACAGTATTAGATTATAAAGGGGTGTGTTTGTTAAAGAAAACCTCTAAATGTGGTTTTGTTTTTCCTCCAGGAGCCTGAACGAGCTGAGGGTTCTGCTCCTAGAGTCTCACCGCCACTCCCGGGAAGTGGAGAAAGATCTGAGCCGAGAGGTGCACAAGGCGGAGTGGAAGGTCAAGGAGCAGAAACTTCAGGACGACATAAAAACGCTGCGAGAAAAACTGCTTCTGCTGGTGAGAACGAAGCAGAACTTACAGATTTAATATCAGTCAATCCATTCATTGCTTCACTCAGTTTAACAGTTTCAGCAGAAATTCACAAACATTTACTGAACATCTTGTAAGGATCCGTCTCAATTATTCCAAAATACATGTTTATTAATACATAGATTACATGTTTAACAAATAATAAGTCATTCAGAACTGCTTAAGACTAAATCACTTTATTTTTAGAAAGTCTTTAATTTGGAGCAGAACATTATTTTAACTCATCATCCAAGCTGGTCCATAATTTTCCTCCATGCACCAAAATGTAAATTTGTTTTAAAGTAGTTAGCAGAGTTTTGCTTTTGAAGTCACACTTCCTTTTATTATATTTGAATTTAAGACAAAAAACCAACATATTGTCATATTGTCGCCGACACACGGGACTGAAACCTGCAGCCCAAAGTGGCTTCTTGGAATCCTGATGCCTTTGCCTCCAGTTGATTAAAAAATGAAACTAATTTATTTTTTAATATAGCATACAGAAAATGCATCTTTTAGCCATTTTTCACAGAATGACATAAAAGTACCTGATTTTTTGTTAATTTCTCAGTGATTAGAAATGACCTGTTTTTCTCGCATCATTTTCCAAACATCTTTTCCAACATCCCAAAGCTGATCCTCTTTTTCGAAACATTTAAAATCTATAAAATAAAAATAAAATGGTGTTTCCTTCTAAATAATCACGCATTCCCTGTAGCACAAACAAAGCTAATAAAATGTGAGAAAAGTCGTTAATTTTTAAAAGCTCGTGTATTTTTTGAGCAAGTTTTCTTTAGCTAGACTCATGGTGAAAATGATTCTTTGGATTTTAAGGTCGCAAAACTCTGAACTTAATTAACTTTAATATACATTTGGACTGAAGTCTGAAGTCAGGAGAATATTCATATTGATTAAACATATTTTAAAGGCGTTTTAGCCTTTTGACACCAAGTTTTAATCTGAGAATGAGGTTTCAAATGTAAAAGTACTGAACCAGATTAATTATTATTCATTATGGGGAGGGGGGTTGCTTGTATTATAACCTGACGTGCAGAGGCAGTATAGTATTATATTCTTATAGTATTATATTACATAATATATATTTCAGATAAAGAATCTTAAAAAAGAAACAGGTAGAAGGAAGAAAGATGAAGTTTATTGATGTTGCTCAGAGCTGCTGTGACCCGAGGATCTGAGGAATACGGTGAGATTGGTGCAGATTATCTGCTGTGGCGCCCCCTAAAGGCAGCTGCTGAAATTCACCTGGGTTGGAAAAATAAATTTTAAAATAGGGTGTGCTATGAGTTAAGAGATGAGCAGATGAGCATACCCGGTCAGACCAGCATACAGGGTTTCCAAGGGTCATCAAAAATCATTAAATTATTATTTTTAAAATTTAGGCCTTAATTGCTATTAAAATACATTAAATATGATTATGGTATTTAAGATGCTTTATTTTTTTTTAAAAAGTAGAACAAAAAAATTTTGTCAGATATATTATATCGCAGCATAACTGCTTTCGGTTGATGGTAAAGCCGTATGTTCGGAAAAAAAGATCGAGGCGGAGAAAAAGCTAGAGAATGGGGAAATGCAAATTTCAACAAGTGGCTGAAAAACGAGGAATTCAGGACACGGCTGCAGCCTGTCGACGGGAAAGATGAGCAAGGATTTTGCCGTATTTTATTTATATATATATATATATATATATTAGAGAATTAAAAAGCATTATATTAGAGTTACTCATTCCTGTATAAACGCTGCCATAGTCAATATGCATTTATTCCTTTAGTTTAGAACGAAAAATAGTTTTTGTTTTTTGTTTTGTTTTTCCTTTTTTTTCCTTTTTTTCTTTTACTGACGCATCGGTCACCCTAGCAAAGACACCGCAAATAGGGCTCCATAGCTGGGCTCCGTTTGATGCTGGAAACATCAGCAGCTTTAACAGCCCAGTAAAAACGAAACTTTCTGCTTCAGTCATACATTTTATGTACTGAATTTGTACCCTATTACTGTAACTATTAATGATTAGTTTTAAACTTCAGCCAATATGAGCTATATTACGTGATATTAATTGTTATCGTTAAATTATCGGCAGCTATTTATAAAAAGCAGCTTCGGGGTGTGAAACCTTCTGCCTTTGTTCTTTCAGGGCCAGGAGCGGTCCTCCCCCGACCACCGGCGCTACTCCATGCTCGACCCCTCGGCTCTGGACTCTGAGGTGAGCCGCCTGCGCCAGCGGCTCCTCAACACGGAGGACGCCCTGAGGAATGCCTTGCAGCACAACCAGCAAGTGGACAAGCTTGTCCAGGCCATGCGTAGACATCCAGATAAAAGCCAGGTAGAGTGCCTGAAACTAGCCCACCTGCTTATTTCATGTCTGTGGAGCTGGAGAGTTCTCCTCCTGAGTATGCAGTCAGGTTTCCTGCTAATCACCTGATTATTTGACTCATGCATTGAACCAGAGACGCATCTAGAGTCTACAGGACACCAGGACCTCCATCACTGTGGTTTGGATCATAACATGTTATAGTTTGGGACGGCCCAGTTAAAGTCCAGACCTCCATACAGCTGTGAGTCTGTAGACCACAAATAAATGTTTAAAAAACCCATAATATCTGAAATCATGGCATCGGGAATATAAATCTACATTTATTCAAACTAATCTAAAGTAATTCAGTTAAAGCTCCCATATTTTATATTCTAAAATAAAGAAAATATCAAAAATGATGTTTTTGCCATCTGTGGCAGACAACCTTTACAAAAATCTTCTTCAGCCCTCCTCTGGATGAGCTGTTTTGGCTTTTAACGCCCCGTCCTCCTGAAGGCCACGCCCCCACAACCAGCAACCATGACAACCAGGAAGCGTTTGCAGGGACAGAGATAATAAATTAGAAAAATGCTGTAGTTTGA